TAATAATATTAATATATTTAAATATTTATTATTATTTAAATATTTTTCAAATAATAATTATTCACGCATATTTTAACTATATCTTTTAGGAGTCATTGTTTATTTATTTAAACAATATGTTTAGTACTCGTATGTAAATATTATTTCTGTTTGTGCTCTAAAATTAATTATTCCGATCCAGACTTTGCGTTAATTTTTCTTATACTATTATAATGTTAATGCGTTAATTTTTACATATTTATTAACTAATTTTGTATATTATTATGATAAATATTATATTATTTAATACAATTATACTTTATATTCAACTTTCCACGATTGTATACAAAAAAAAAAATAATGGATGAAATTAGGTGAAAAGTATATAAATTTCACTTTAATACTAAAAAAAATAAAATAAAAGGTAATAAAAAATAAAGTTAAAAATTTCAATTTTACATATTATTACAATTTTTTACGATTATACGAGTATTGTAAAAAATTTCTTCAAAAAACAAAAAGTACAAGCCCCTGTAAAAATACACACATGGCTATTATAAATATTATGTGTATAGAAAAATATGAAAACGCGTGTGGACAATGATGACTTGAAACTGTGCGAAATGGTTTTTTTTTTCGGGAATTTTGCTTTGTTTTATTATTTGGTAACTGCTCCTTCTGAATTCTGATGAACAAAATTAAAAAAAGTAAAGATCAATGACTTTTAAAAATTAAGAGTTTTTGTGATACCGAAATAAAGTTGCCAGATGTGAATTATAATTATAAGTTTTTGAAAGTCTATATTCGATATTAATTTGAGAAAAAATTGCAGATCAAGCGAAATTCAAAATTTTAATATTTTATTAAAATTCGATTTTTGTGTTTTCAAAATTCGAAAAGCGATCATTTTTAAAACTATTTCTAATTAAAAATTTTTAAAGTTCCTAAAAATCCTTCAAAATCTAACATTCTTTTAAAATTACTTTGAATTAAACTTTCTAATATAAAATCGCTAAGTATAAACACATTTATATTTTAGCATGATAATTGATAATTCACCAAACAAAATAATATAGGCGAAATTATATAATGTAATTAAAGTTTTACCTTTTTTGTTCAAATAAATATGCTTTATCAGTTGTCAATCAGAATATGCACAGGTATATAAACATGTGTACATATATAATAATATACTTATTTAAGAAAATGAAAAAAAAAGTTGAAGAATCCAAAATAGGGAGCGATTATCTAACTATACTGTAACTCACATTTGTATATATGTATAAAAGTATAATCCTACAAAAATATTATGAGCAGATATAATCAAAACGCTTGTCACGCTTTCGGTGTTATATTCTATTCATTAATAAAAATATAGAGCCGTTAGATATTCGCTTCAGTTATTACAATACCGTTTATTGATATAATACCATTATATTTACAATTTTACATTATATACATACCGTTATTTTTTTTTTTGTTATACTTATATGTACCCCTTTAAGATTTTTGAAAAGGCCTTTTTCTTTTATCTTTTAGCATTTTATTTTGTGAAGATTTTAAAAGATATTTGGGTCTTCTTTTTATTGTGATCTTATTTTTTTCTTTCTTTGCTGTCATATACACATCATCGATATCAATTGAAAGTGATCGATTTTAATTGGATGTGTACACACATTGGTTTTGTTATATATTGTGTTTTTGTTGGTGAGCTTTGTATACCAATTTTTTTTTTCATCATTTTAGATGATTTTAATCTTTGATTTTCTTTTTATTTTAATAAAATTATTTTGCGTTTTTTTTTCTTAAAATTTCTTTATATTATGTCTTAATTATTGAATATACTTGTATATACAAAGCTGTATACCGTATATTTATCTGCACATTGTCGTTTTAGAAATATGAGCCCCCTAGTGTTGAATTGATTGATTCTTTTATTATATTGTATACACAATTTCATATTTTTTTTTTAATTTTAAGTAATCATAATTGTAAGAAAAAATGTACATTGTCATTTTCTACGGAATGTATATAAACATATGTATATAATCAAAAATGTAAGTATAAAATGGTATGGAATTATGTAAGAAAAAAGTTTGCATAATTTATAAGATGTTACTTACTTTATCCGTGTATAAGATTGTGTAAATTGTATAAATGATTTTTACACCCACATGACAATGATAATTATTACGAATAAATGAAAGTTTATTAAATTTTTTGAAAAATTTATATTTTTTAATAAAATGAGGTGTCATAATCAATTTAAAATTATATACAAAATTGACTGCTTTTATTCTTGAAAAGAAAATATTTTTTATTTTTCATTACAAACACATAAATTTGGTTTTGTTTTATTTTTGTTTTGGAATTCCGTATAATTATGTAAAAATAACACAAAATTTAATTAAGCAATTATATATTTACATTATTTGTCATTCAGGTGTCAATTATAATTATATGCAAAGAATTACTGACTCATTTATCGTATTATACATTTAACGTAAGTATATAAAAAAAATAATGAAATTAAATTTGACATTAATGTTATACGAGTAGATCTTCGGGTAGATATCAAGGTAATTTAATATAAAAATAGGATTTTAATTTAAAGGTGGAATATTGAGAATTATTATACATTATGAAATTTTGTCATAATCAGGTTAAAGGTGCAATATATAGGGTTTTACTTTAAAATAATTTTCTTATTTTGTAAATTCAATGCAATTAATTCTTCTTTTTCGGAAGAATTACATCAGTGAGATGTCAAAAAAAAGAAGTAGAATTATACTTAAATGTTATATTACAAAAATAAATCTGATGTGATCAGCACATAACCGACCGCAATATATACATTGCCTAGTTTATTTAAAAAGATTATGAAAATGCATTTTGAACACTTCCTTTCAATTTAGAGGAAAGGAAGTTAGCACGCTTTTAGCTAACATACCTAGAAAATTGTAAATTAGGCTCTTAGTAGAAATTCGCTTTGTGCCACTCAAATTCTCTAGAAATTTCGCCAGTTACTTTCAGTAATAACTTGATTTCAAATATCAAATTTCAAGAAATATCTTCAATTAGTTTCGTAGATATGATAAAAAATGTAAAATCGGCCCCCATAGTTCTTTTAAAAGAAAATTATAGGTTTATTGTTTTAACACCCAGAACATAAATATTAAATTTCAAGGAAATTGGTTGATTAGTTCTTTTTATATAAACAAAAAATGTAAAATTGACCCGCAAAAAATTACAGTTCCCGAGGTCTGATATATCCCAAAAGATCAATTCGTGGCATAATCAAAATAAACTCACATATAAAATTTCATGAAAATCGGTTCAGCCGAACTTGAGATACACGCTTCCACACACAGACCGATTATTTATGTTTTCTTACTATGAAGAAATGCGTTCCCACCGAAAACTCGAAATCCAAAATTTGGTGCTATCACATCATCTAGCTTATTGTATACAATGCGGTCGGTAAAAAATGAAATGATTATTATTGACTTTTTTGTGTATTTGAATATTTAAGGTTTACAATTGAATCTCAATGAATTTATTTAGGATTTTAAATGTCAAATCGGAAATATAACAAGAATCGATTATGTTAATTGATTTTATAATTCAAAGTAATCAGAACCTCACCTTTTCAGTTTATTGATTGACAATTCGATTTGAATAAATATAATTTGGTTTTTGTATCTCTTTATTGAGTTTTTTTTTTTTGTTTTGCGGATGTCATTTTGACTTTTGAATTACTATTCAAATATAAGAAGAGTTTGAACGTTGAAGAACCTTTTGCGATATACTCGTACATGCAAATCTACTATTTACTTATGTATATATTAGTAAAATTTTTAGTCTCCCTGATAAAAACTATAAAACTAAAATCTTGAAAGTCGAAATTACATTATGTACGAGTATATTCGTCATTCCTAATCCTAACCAGATAATTATTAAATATATATATATAAATATAGCACATTTAAAACGTCTTCTAGTAACTAATTTGATCTATGAGAAATAATTGCTACCGCCATTGGGGATAATATCATTCGTTTTAATTTTTATTCAATAATGCTGACAATTAAATTCGTCATGTCAAGATTTTTAATAAAAATATGTCAAAAATTTAATAACTCAGTAGATCAATATTTTGGTTACGGTTAATATGTCAATACTTAAATATAACGTAGAACGTACGTATAAGTAAATTTGTAGGTATAATAGACAAAATTTTTCTATATACTTAATTTTTGTACTTCATCGGAATTCGCAATGAATTTTTAAGGTGCAGCGAAAATAAAATAGTAAAATATAATAACTGTTCAATTATATAACAGTTATATTTATGATGAAGAATTATTTTGTTTTTTCTGTAATTTTTATAAATTATTATGTAATATTATAATATTCTTCAAAATATATCTATCTTCTTTTTTTTGTGTTCTCGCAGATATGTAATGTGAAGGCATAGAAAGATTGTAATAATTTTTAAGAAGAATTCATTAAATGATTCGCACCCTTTTTATTTACTAGATGCTAGAAACAATATTATAAATATTTGTGTCTTTATATTTATAAAGATTTCAACACAAAGATAAAATTCGTGTGTAAAAAATCTTTGAAATTTAAGTATTTTAAATTTTTAAAACTAAAGATTTTTAAATTGATTGTAATTTAAGCTAAAAATTATGAGATTTTTATGAAAATTTCTCATGAGTTCAATAGCATAGCAGTTTAAAAGCTGTTTAGATATATTTTGTAAAAAAATTTAAATTTTAAGATTTAAATAGAAGCACCATTGGGCAGGAAATTAATCAAACAATCTAAATTTTGATTTGGCATATAAAACAGTAAATTTACAACAAATTACGAGTATATGTTTCAAAAGTCTTCATATTTGCTATACACCATTAATTATTATGTTGTCAAACTTGAATAATGATTTTAATTATTTATACTAATATAATATGTATACAAAAATCTATAATATGTATAGAAAAATATTTTCTACTTACCAATTCTTTATCCATTTGTAAAATATATTGAAATCTTCCAATATCATTAATTGTTAAATCTTTATTATCATATTGATTAGATTGTTGATTATAATAATTTCTAGAATATTTTGGATTTTTTCTTGTTGTTCCATCATTTCCAGTACCATCATTATATGACATTTTTATATTATTTCGGTAAATCTCTTCTGAACAATTCAAATTTTTTTTATGAAAATTATTAAAAAATTGATTTTGCTGTTTTAATTTCGGTTCAGATATTACAAAATCTTCACCAACACTTTTATTAGTATCTATTGATTCATATGATGTAAATGATGGTGTATTATCTGAAGAAGATAATATTGATAATTTTGATCCAGTTGTTGTATTCGATACGGTAGGAAAATTTTGAATTGGTATATTTTCATTAAACGATAATGGTATTCTATAATTATTGATATTGGTACGCCTGGATGTTTTCGAATTTATATAATTATTATCTAAATTATGTTGAATTTTGTATTGTTTATTCACCATATTTTTTTAAGGTGAAAATATTAAGATTTTTTAATTTTCTTCAAATTATATGCATTAGTTTTTTTTATTATTTTTTGCTTTAAATGTTCAAAAATTTTAAATTTTCAAAAAAATTCTAAATTCAAAAAGCTACTAGAGCTTAAATATATGAAAAGAAAATTTTTAATTTGAAATTGATTTCAAAGTGATTGTGATTTTAAGAATTTTTCCTTCTAATTTCAATTCGATTGTATAAAAATTTTGTATATTCTCAGCTTATTAATGAATAAATTAGCAGTTTATGTGCCTACAGTAGATTCCAATCTACAGTAGTTTCTTCTATTTTTTACAGTCATTTTTTAATTATCTTTTCGAATAGTTGTATGTCTGTACATGTATAGTTAGTGGATTGATTCAATTATATTTATAATCTAATTTTATAAGATGATTTTAATTATCTAATCAAATCACAAACACCATTTGTCAAAATGAACAACCTGATTAAAAATTGTTGCAAACAAGAAATATCACTAAAATAGATGAAACTGAAGATAAAGATGTGAAAAAAAGATGAAAGATTTGCGATAAATGTTTCCTCTCGCAAAGTTGAAATTAAAAAAACACCAATTTTTTTTATAATTTTGTATTTGTTCATTAACAAAATTCTTCATAGAAATTTTTAAAATAGGATTTTTTCCTCGTAATTTCGAAATTTTGTGATTATGTCATTAAAAAGTTATAACGATATGAGAGAGGATTAAGGGAGTATCCGTGCCAAACTCTTTTTAAAAAAGATTAAATAAGAGTAACTGCCGAGAGTAAGGAAAAATTAATGATTTCGTGATTTTCATTATGTTAAAATGAAAATTTACACAAAATTTTCGTTAGCTCCTTTTAGTTATACTAAAAAATTTGCGTTACTTTGACATTCTTGTGAGTTCTTCGTAAAATTTTAGAGTAAAATACGAAGATTTTTGGATTCGGAACACATTCGAAAAGAATTTTTTTCAAACATTTACACAATGGTAATTAGAAGAGAATTTTTCAATAAATCCAAATTATTACAGTTTGTTTTACTTTCATAAATACTCTTACATGTATGTTAATTTAAAATATAAAATATAATTTAATTTATTTATAATAAAAACTGACCGTAATTAAAAATATCCAAATAAAATTTTACTATCAAATAAATATTATTTAATCCTTATTTTATTGAATTTGTTGCTACTATAACAAGTTAAGACAGCAGCTACGAGTTTAAAAAATATACATACCATTAATTTTCTTTAATTTTTTATATTCGTACATACCATTTTTTATGATACAAATTTCGATCGGCCTACTTAAAAAGTTTGCAAAAATTTTTAATTTACGATCAAATTTGGAAAAATAAATTTTTTATGCATACAATGTGTGTGCGCGCGGCGGCGTCTATTAAAATATTAATAAATATTTTTATTTTTGGAACTTGTAAAAAGTTTTTCATTATTTTAATTATTCGTTTGTAATATTTTTAAAAAAATCAAATTAAGTAGGTTGAAACTTAATTGCAATGAAATTAAATTTTTTCACAGTTTTAATCTGTTTTCTGCTAAAATTTCATCAAGGTATTCATTTATTCGAAATACAAGTTTTCGATTTCGGCCGTTCTTCTTTGAAAGACAGCATAGTAATAATTATTCTAACATTAATTAGAATTAAATTTAAATTTTCACCAAGAATATTCATTACGAAGTTAATATAATTTTACTTGTGTTATTATTGCCAATGATTTAATTTTAAAAGAGAAAAGTCGTCATCGGAATTCGATTTACTTTGGTGCTACAAATGACAGCGAATTTAATTTCAATATTTTGTCTATCATGAAGCTCAGGCTTTATTCAATTTTAATCGCCTGTTACAGCAAAAAAATTCAATTTTTACAAAATTTTACCATTGGTGGCATGTCGCGTGCCACAGCAATGTAAACTATCGCTTTTAAATCAGTGCATTGAATAATATTTTGACAATATTCGTTGAGTTGCCGCTGTCGTAGTGTCGCAATGTTTATGAGCAACTTATTAAGAACAAAATTCGAATTTTTGGATCATTTAATATTCGAAAACAATTTATTACTAATTTAATTTGAATAATAATTCTGAAAATATGCTTTTGTTAGAAATTATATTTCGTTCATAAATTTCTAAAATATCTTATAGTACTGCTTCAAAAGATCAAATAAACTTAATGAATTTATTAACCAATTTCTGATTATAATTATAATTTTATTATATTTTTTAGCTACTGTTTTAGGAAACTATATTTCTTTGAATTAAAATATTTTTCAATTGATTTTTCGTATTTGATTTTTGCTCCAATTTATAATCGGAATTCCAAAGAAATAAATAAATGAGATAATGGTTATATATACGAGTACATATATTTTTTTAAGTTATTTAATTGTAATTTATATTTCAAGAGAAAAATTGACGCTTTACAAGCTTTATCTGAAGAAAAAACAAATGTGTTTGCACAACAACAAGAAATTGAAAGATCAATTCAACGATCTTTTTTTATTCGATTGCTCATTTATTTTTTAAGAATTTTTACAACTTTGTTTTTATTACCCAACATGTTTTACAATAAATATATTTTAAAAAATTTGTGTGTGTGGATAATTTATTGAAAATACTATTACACTTGATGAAATAACTGTTTTAACGTAATGAAAATGTTTAATAAATAATTAAATTTGAAATTGACAATAATTTTGTGATTTCATACTGAAAATAACGTTGAAATTGTTGTTAACAAATTAGGGTTAATAATATACTGAATTTTTTTTATACTGTTAAGGTTTCAGTAGGTTAAGTATCGTTCTTAAATCAAATTCCAGCACTAAAATTTATTCTAAATTAGGTGTAGAAATCATATTACTTGATTATTGAATTCCAAGTATGTGTTTTGAGACAGTTAGCAAAAATTTATTACATAAAATGTCAAAAATGTCAAATTGTTTACAATAAAATGTCAAAATTGAAAAAGAGCTAAAACTGTAAATTAATATTGTTAAACTGTTTAAATTGTCAAAATGTCAGCAATCTGAATGTTAAAATTTAAATGTAAACTTTCAATTTTTTAATCTTTATTTTTTAGTATTTTACAGTTTTGTGTGCAAAACAGAGCCTGTTTAATGATATTAGTTCGTTGGACTGTTTTATGTAAATATACTAATATGATAAATGAACTAAATTTTTAATATTTTACATAATTTTTTTTAAAAGTAAAAAAAAAAAATTTTATGTCATGTCAATATTTGAAGTATAATGCTTATAAAATTAGAATTTTATAATCGCAGAACCTTGAATTTATGAATTCTCACTAGATTATTAAAGAAGTTTCAAAAAATAATTATTCTCATATGTCGCCCCTATATTCCAAAAATGAAAATATTTTTGAAGTTTTCAACTTAGGAAATTTATTAAGTAAACTATAAAATGTCCGAATTTCTGATGGTGTTAATATCAAACGGTTTGAATATTTTCTAACTAAAAAGGCTTGGCTATAGATAAACGTTGCATATGGCAATTGATTTAAAATTGAAACAAAATTTAATTCAAGTTAGACATTAAGTTAAAAAAAATCTTACTTAAAATGGAAGTTGTTCTTATAATTTTTCCACACCTTTTAATTTAATATAGCCATAATAATAAATATTTGTATAAAAAAAAATTCTAATTTTTCACAGAATTGAATTTTTAAATTTTAATTGCAAATAAAAAATGTAATAAAAAAATTATTTACAAATTTTAATTGGATCAAAGATTAAAAATTTACAAAAATTTTAAAGTTTCTGTGATTTTGTGCGTATTCTAGAAATTAATGTCAAATAAGTCGAATCAAAATATAATTGAAATTTTTCTCTCTATAATTTACGTAATTTCACGTATTTTGCACACATTTTACACATTCATACCACAAATATATTAAATTTATAATAAATTTAAAGGTTAATTGAGTTGTTATTGATCCTATGTTTTGTGTTTTTTTTTAATTCTCGAAAACCAAAAATCAAAAATGAAATATAAAAATTTTAATTATATGATCACATGTCAAAAATATTTAATTTTAAAATTAATTGAAAAATTCCTAATGAGTTGTCAGGTGGAAATATGCTTACCAATTTTAATATAATTTATATTTTAATAATTTTTTTTTTTAAATATTGAAAAATAATTGAAATGATTATTAAATTGGTTAAAATATGTTGCAGTCAATCCATGCCCATATACTTATTTTACAATCTATACTTTCTAAAATCGAAAAAAAAAAAATAAAAACTTACATGAAGCACAGATTTTAAAAATAAATTTCGTGTTAGGTTAGTTGCATGTGACCAAAGAACAATACCTCATTTTTACACTTATACTCGACCAAATTTTATGCCAGTCTACGGAGTTATTAGGAAATGAAATTTACTATAAAAAACAATTTAACTCACGTAACACAAATTCCTTCTTACAATTTAATTTACAAATTAATTAAAATTTTGTCATCAAAATTCAGAAAATTGGATTATAATAATTTTGTCAACGTTTCTAATTGTTTTCTACAATGAGATAAATCAGAAAATCAATACGATAAGACTAAAATCAGAAATGACAAATATTTATTGTTTAATACTGAAGGCAGGGAACTTTATCGTAATTGTAAATTGATAAATATTTGGATTAAATTTACAGATGTAAAAACATAATTCTGTTAGAAAATTTAAGTTTCAATGGATCATTAAAAATTAGATAATTTTTAAAATAAAAATTTTACTTATTTTTGATTTAAGAATTTTTTAAATAGTTATTCTTGTAAAGCGAATCCCGAAAATATTCCTATATTACGTCTACATATTAAATTAAATTAAATCATCGTCTACAATCAAATCGAAATTGGTATCGATTGATTTATCATAGGAAAAATAAAATATCTCTTATGGTATATACGAATATGTTGATAACCACCATATCAAAATCAACTCTTACAACTTCAAATGAAAACTTCTGAGAATAGAACAATTATTGCAGATATTTTGGTCATTCGAAAACATTTCTGAGATAAGTACATAAAATATTTATTTTTCTTAGAAATATAATAAATTCTCAATATAACACTGTTATACTAGATTTACGGTATAACAATATTTTCGATTTTTCCTCCTCTCTATGTTTCCTTTTATTTACAAATTTTAAAATTTAATATTAAACTGCAAAATTTTCCCAATTCCAATTTTGTGTTTTACGATATAATTTTACTTCGTTATTTGTATTACACTGTATGTACTCAAAAATATTATTCTTAATTTTAAACAAATATTCCGCTTTAATGATTTTTTTTTTTGAAAAAAAAAAAAACATTTAGCGCAAAACTGTTTGTGATTCTTTCACATGAATCAATTACTTTTTAAACCTCTTAATACATAAAGTGATACAAATAAATAATCTCAAAATTTTGAATTATTTCTACATTTCGAAATATTATTTAATTTTATTATTATCATTATTTTTTTTTAAATCTATCTCTACCTATACTTGAAATTTTCTACCTGTAATTGAAAAAAAAACCATATCATATTTTTTTAATTCAATGCACGTTTAAGTAGGTATTTATCAATTTGTGTAATTAGCAAATATTTTAAAATGAAAAAAAAATAGAGAAAAAAGGAGGATAGCAGGAGTTTTTTTTTCTTCTACCATTTTATAATTTTTATTTTGTACCCAATTATTTGGTATTCTATGCAGTAGAAATTTTTGTAATAATTTGGAATGTAGTTTTCCGCTTCTTTTTGAAAGTCTTTTGAATTTTTTTTCAATCGCAAAAATTTATTATTAGCTATTTATGTGGAAAGGTACATTAAATCTGGAATGAATTTTTTATCTTAATTACTACATTCATTCAAATCGATTTTTTGTGTCACATCATACCATTTTGGTTCACTCATATTAAAAGAAATTTTGCAATTCTATGGGCAATCATTTTGCATATGTATATGCAATTAAACTAATATTGCTAATTTCCTGTTAAAAATTACAGAGAATTATTGAAAAAAAAACAAATCTTAAAATCAAAATCACTTTAAATTAGTCTTCTTTCTGTGAATCTATGTTTGTTACATAAGAACAAGGCAATTTTGTAGACTTTTTTTTTGAAAAATATTTGCAATTTCCTTAATCTATTTATTCCCATATATTTATATAAATATATAGAAAAATACATACTTTTAATAATTATATTTCACTTTAATTTTGTTATTTAATTTAACACTTTATCAATTCTTCAAAGACAATTTTCCATTCAAATATAACATTCGTGTCTGTAGTCATTTATAGTAAGCACATACCTATATACATATTATGTATATACGTACAAAAATTATTAAATAATAATTTCTACATACATACGAATATATATATATATATTTATGTCTATATACATATACTTGTGTATTTTAACAGGATGAAAAAAAAAACCAGAATAAAAAATAAATTATTTTTTTTTTCCAACAAAATCGAATTAATTAAAAAAACAAAAAAAAAAATGAAATATTAAAAATAGTACAAAAAATCCAAGGAAAAATAAAAGTTTTTTTTTTTCGTTTTAATTTTATTTTTTGTTTATTTTATCGGGAATTACCACACCGTACCGTACCGTTGAAAGTATAATCAAAGACTGACTATTCTTTAAGGTAAGCATTAACGAAAATTACTGTTGTTTTAACAATGTTATATATGCATTCACATACAACTAGCAAACAACTTCTTAAATAAAAATGAAAAAAAAAAAAAACAAGAAAAAAATTATATTTAATCCAACATTATAACTGTTTATACAACGTTAGTTTATTTTTTTATGTTTCTTATTTTTTGCTTTTTGTTTTGAGGATGGTAGGAGAAATGTTAACCAAAAGAAAACCAAATATACAAAAATTCACAAAAAAAAAACTTTTATATGAAAAAAAAAATAAACAACAACAAAAACAAATAAAGAATCTCTTCTTCTTCTTCTTCTTCTATGTTGAAAATTCGCGTTTTTGTTTATTTTTTTATTATTATAGTTTTTCTTCTTTAATTAACTAAGAGTTCCAAAATATTGCGGTGAGCTTTTTTAAGAAATTCAATTCCCAATAGTAATTTAATAAAACAATGAAAAAACTATATGAAAAGCTTTAATAGAGAGGCAGTAGAATAATATTTTACTCATTTGTAAATTCCTTTATTTTATATAGCCTCTCTGTACTTTAAAGTTTTTAATATTTTAAAGAGAAATATTTCTTGCATGATTATTAAATAATATAATGTAACATTGCGCACAATTTTAAAAAAAATTTTTTTGAATTGAGATTTTCCAGATGTTTCGAAAGAGAAAATGAAAAGCAAAAGTGCAATAAGCTTATATTTAAATATGATGAATTAATTTAAGTTAAAAAAAATCTCTTTTGAAAATTAACATTCTCTCTTCTCCAAATATGTCTCCAATTTAGTGTTCTCTTAAATTATTTTTCTTCACTTTTTAATTTTACAGTATTTATTTGAAAATTTAAGAGAATTTTTATTTTCTTTAAACTATGGTGTTAAATTCATATCATATAATAGTAAGTTGCTCTTCTTATATTATGATAGACATATGAGTGATAATTTTCATTTTACAAATGAAAAATTCACCATACCACTTAAAAAAACTATTTTATTTCCTTACGTATTGATTATTTTAAAATTTTTCGATTTTAAACACGATATGATTGTGAGAATGAGAAACTATTGAAGCAAGTTCAATATCTTGATATAAAATAAACACAGAATTAAGAACAGGATTAAGAAGAAGAAGAAGTTAACATTGTAAATTTCATTATTATCAAGATTCTACGCTATCTGTGAATTAATTACTATAGACCCTTCCCTTATACAAATTTTCAACTATTCTTTCCCAACACTTATAAATTAAAACCATAAAATTATGTTAAATTCAAAATGCTTGTTAAAGAATTCAAAAGATTTAAAAGATTTAAATAATTCCTTGATATAATCGATAACAATTTTCTTATCTTTTACACAATCTTGACCTGTTATCTTAAAAGGAAATTAATTTCTAAAAGAAATGTTTAACAAAATAAAAAAGCTTGAAGGTTCACAACACATAAGCTTTAAAATACTTAAAATATGCTAAAATTCTAAATTATATTTTTTTTTTTAAATTCGTTTGGGTATTTTACATATATCATTTTTGCATGAAAACAAAAAGATAAAGCATTCATTTTAACAAGGCTTTTAATCTTAACCTCATCTATGTGTCAACACAGCTTGAACCTCTTCTAATTAAAAGTGAGTATAAGTGTTTTTTTATACAAAAAGATAAAATTGAATAAAAATAATTTTTACGTATAGTTAGTTGCCAAAAATAAATAAAAATAAAAAACTTGGTAAAATTAAAGTATTTTTGATTGTAAAATGGCTAGTGCAAATTCAATATTATTTACGTACCATTTCTCAATCGGCATGAATTCAGTATTATAACGGCAGAATCTTTTACTGTTTTGGGGATTCTATATTTTATATTTCTTGCATGATTTATTAAAGTTGTCAAAGTAAAATCGAACTGAACCGTTCTTCTATTTCCAAATAGAGAAAGACACCCTTACAATTCTTCCAAATCATTATTATATTTATTATTAAGTATTAATCAAAAGAATGCCTTCCGCAAATACATTATTTCGGCAAGATTTTCGAATCTCGTCGAAATAATGTATTCGAATGGTTCGGCAAGTAAATTATTTCCTTTAGATTATTTTCTTTATGAATCTTTTCATTATAAATGACCATTTTGCAATAGAAAAAATAAATGGCAGCTCGAAATTCAATTCTTAAAATGGAGTATCAAAAACGAAGCCTTGACTAATATGAAATATTTAAAAAAATAAATGCCAAAGTGATTTCCAACGTTTACAATAAAAATTTGCAATTCATTCATAAATCAACTAAATCTAATTCACAAAATTAATTCTTGACATAGTGCTTTAGAGTTGATTAAAGACTAGAAATTGTATTATAATTTTTAACCGTTGGGACCGGTAAAGGATTTTCATTTCCTATCATTTTCTTTTCATATGAAAGAATTTATACAAATATAGGGGAAAATGTATTTTACGCATAAAATTTATAACCAAAATTCAACGGTTCATCAACATCTTTCTTCATACTTTGTGAATATACGTTCACATACATATTTAGCCTTTTCTACTTTAGATTTCATATTTAGAAACTTATTTGGAAATAACAAAATGGGACGGCCATATTATGCAAATTTTAATATACAAAAACTTTGCAATTCTATTAATTATTCTTTGTGTTAGAAAAAAAAAGAATCAAAAAAACAAAAGTATTGCTGCTTGGACTCGACCTTACACCTTAAAAAATTTTTCGTATACCTTTGAAAAACCACAAAAAAAATCATTTATACCTTTTTTTTTGTTTTGTTTTTTTGTTAATCACAAATAATTGGCCAATCGATATGTAAAGTGTTTATAAAAAATTTTCTGTTTTGTTTTGTTTTTTTTCTTCTTTTGATTATTTTTATGATCAATTATTATAAAAATTTTTTGATATTAACTATTGGTTATAACGGAAGATAATTTGGAAGAGTTTTCATTTCTGTTTCCGAAAAAAATTTTTTGAAGAGAATAAAATTTCTTAATGAAGATCAAATTAAAATACTAAAAAAAATTTTTTTTTTATATATTTTTTATTGACTCGGAAACAGTTTCCACTATCAATTATCATTTTAATTTTTAATATTTAATAAATTACCTATATATAGATATATATACAAACCTACAAGGTATAAATAAAAAAAAAACAATATGCTTGGAAGCTCAAATTACGATTGATAAGAGTTTTATTGCCGAAAAATATTATTTACGGTTTTCCGGGGTCATAATTGGATCAAATGACTATATATAAGTATTTATACGAATTATTAATAAGTTTATTAAAATTATTTATTAATTAATTAATATTCGATATTCATTGATTAGATTGATTGAATCCAATTAGTTTATTGTAAAATTTAGATTTTTTTTTTTGTTTTTTAGTTTGAAACAAATTTTATATGGGAAAATGAACGATTAAAATTTGTTTTAGGGGCTATTTTTTTGGTTTTGCTCTTCTATGAAATATTTCTGTTCGAAAATCACTTAACAATGTTAAATTTTAGTTTTCAATTTAAATTAATTAGGTGAATTAATTAAAGTAAATTTAAAATTTATAAGCAGAAATATTAATAAAAAAAACAACGTTATTTCTCGCTATAATTAAGAAAATAAATTTTGTAGAAAATTGAATATTAAAAATAGTTTATGAAATATGAATTTTATAGCAAATTAGAGGAATAATAATAAAAAAAATTTAAAAAACCCAAGAATATAACAAAAAACTAAAGAAAAGGTTAACCGCTAGTAAGTTGCAATACTGTGTACAAAATTAATTATCTATTAATTAAAATTACGAAATGAGACCAATTTAAAAGATTCGAAATTTATCTTTTTAGAAATGAAATTGCAGCTCACGTTGTGAATATTGGAGATCAATTGCAATAATGTTTTCTTCGAAAATCAGAAATATTCTAATTACGACAAGATACGATGCGTGTCATTACAAAAAATAAGCAAAAGAAGTTTTTGGAAAATTTTAGAAAATTTGACTCACTATTCAAAATTATTCAATTGGTTTTTATAAATGCAGGTGGATTAAGATGAACATCATAGTTTAATTTATAAAATTATTCACTTATGCTAAATACACTAAGATATAGTTAAATAGTTAAATATTAAAGGCATTTATAAATTAAAAAACTCAAATTATTACTCACCCATATTTTTATTATATTACTTATTAATGAAAAAGTGCAATTTTAGCTGTATGATGTGTAGAATTTTAGGCCCTATATTGCACTGGAACTTTAAGGCTGGATTTTCTTCTTTGCTGATTCATCTTCGTCTTTTGAGTAACCTACAAATAAATTTAATAGTGATATAAAAGTGTAAGAGTACATAAAAAGTTTATTTTTTTGAATAGATATAACTAGTACCTAAAAATTCTAGTGAAATACTCGGCGGTCATCGAAATTGTTTTTTGAAAACAGTCAAGGAAATTATAGACCGTGACTAAAAGTCGGTGAACAAGGAAATTCAATTTAAACCTCGGTTATACAATTATTTTCAGTAAATCCTTAAATCTTTTTAAATGTTAAAGAATGAAAGGTTTGTTAGCACAAAACACAAATTTAAATTCTTTGCCTTACGTTTGCCATTATTTTTAAAATTTTGATGTTGAAAATTATATAATTAGTTTTTTTGTATTCTTAAAAATTCTTGTAATTATGAAATTTATCGCTATATTTTTATAGTTTTTTAATTATGGACACGATATTTTCGATTTAATTCACAATCACGGTTTCATATTAATTTTTTTTTCTGTTTTGTTTTTTTTTTCTAATTTAAAATTATAATTTACCATAATTTTATAATTTATTTTATTAAATATATTATTTTAAACGGTATTTTTTTCAATGATTTTTATCAATTGATCTTTTATATATAGATCGTTTGATAAACTTTACCAACAACAAAACAAAAAACAATCTTAACTCTTCTTCTTTTT